CGAATTTCTGGAGTAAGACTTTTGATGTCAACTTTGTATTACAGGGATATTTTATATCTCACACAAAGGAGGCACTGGTAATTGGAAACTGAAGAAAATTCTTAGAACCGTTAAGACCGAGGTGAAGAATTCGTGCAGTCTTCCACAATTTCAAAGAGGTAGTGATGGATGCCCGTCCTCCGGGCGATGTCCAATGCAGTTTCCTCCGAGCTGCTTTTCAGACCGGGCTTGACGTAGCGGTTGGTCAGGAGGAGTTCCAGGGTGTCTTTGCCATCTCTGTTCCCAGCAGCAAGATGTAAAGGGGTCAAGAGCCCTTTGGTTTGGGCGTTGATATCTGCATCATGCTGGAGTAAGAAAGAAGCCACTCTGGTATTATTCCACTTACAAGCACTATGCAGGGGTGTCCAGCCATCCACGGTCACCGCATGAACATCTGCCCCTTGTGCAATCAGCTCACGGACAACATCTAAGTGTCCACCGTAGGCTGCTCGATGAAGAGGGGTATACTCATCTTCATCTCTAGTGTTCACATGAGTGGCCTTTTCAGAAAGCAGTCTCTGCACTGTAGCAAGCTGAAAGGAAAAAAAGGTCTCTAAAAAACTCAACTCAAAACTCAACAGTACACAAAGAAAATTAAACTGTATAGGTGGTATTAAGATCTAATCAAGTTAAATAAAAACTTACTTGTTAGCAGATGACTATAAAATGAAAATTATTTAAGATTTCTTTTTGTGGGGGCAGAGAGCAACTGATTTAAGAATGAACAAGTTAGCCTTAACCATAAGCTGTTGATTCTAAGACTGTGATTCTCTGAATATCAAACCATACATTTACTACTGGTCCAAGTAAGGCTTATTGCACAAAAGCTGTAGTCCTAGGTGAATAATACAGGCTCTAACTGTATTTAATATTTTATATTTAATCTGTGAAGAAAACATAATGGATTGATTTTTCTGTAGTAGGATTATCACACCAATATACATAGAGTATAAAACTTTTAAAAATAAACTTCTTTATCAGAAGAATACAATGATAACAAGGAAATCCAGAGATTAAAGAGCTCAATTCCTTCTAACTAAAACAACCTCAGATACATGTTTTTAGGAAGTGATTTTCAGTTTTGTCTATGAACCTCTGGTTGGATGCAGTATGCTCTTGCATTAAAAAGTTATCCCAAAATGCAAGACCTTTTTAGTTATTAGTTTACTAACACAGACATGGGGGAACTTAGTCAAATGATATTAAGTACAATCATCCTACATGAACCTCAATTTCTTAATCTGTAAAAGGAAAGAACTTTACCTATCTTATAAGGATATACAAGGATTAAATCAAATAATGCAGAAAGGCACATGGTATAGTTGGTATTCAATAAATGTTAATTCCCATCCTCCCTTCCCTAAATGATACTTGTCTCTAGGATGATTCTAGTGACTTAACATAAATGCTTTAAAAATATAGATGATTTCTTGCTATCTTTATAGTTAACTATCCTTTAAAGCCCCCCAAAATACCTAATATAACACTTTGTAGCTCACTATATGCTTTCATGTACATTGCCTCATTTGACCTTCAAACTCTTGTATAAAAGAGGCAGGTATTATGGTGGCCATTTTTACAGATAAGAAAACAGAGGTTCAGAGATGGTAGGATTTTCCCAAAGTTACAGACCAAACAGAGGTTCACGGACAGGTCTTCTTGCTCCAAATCTAATACTTTTCCTACTATATGATGGTTTCCTCTTTAATTGGTGTTTTTTTTTACCCGATTCTTTTCAGCAGCCCAAAGAAGCAATTTGCTTGGATCTTTTCCCATTTTTTTTTCTTGCAATTGATACCACTCTTCAGTTTTTTCATCTTGGTCATCTTCATCAGAATTCTCTTCCCAGAGACTTTGGGTACCAGTGGGAATAAGGTGTCCATGTGTTTCCAACAATTCAAGTTGGTTAAAGTGTTCAGAAAAATCCAAGGAATCCTCTGAGTCTGGTTTTCCATCATCATTTACCTTCTCTTTTTCCATTTTTACTATTATTCTAAATACAAAGCATTTCAAATGCCAGGGTATAAATAATCTTTCTAGAGATGAATTATGTCTGCTTTATTTTATTCATCAAGATCTGAAAACACAAACACAAAAATTATGAGCAAAACAGTAACTGAGGCTCTATCAACAGCATAGATAAGTTTTGCAAGCATACACAAATAAACCCTGTCTAAACTCTTTGGTGTTTATTGACACCCTTTACATTCACTAAATATTGGAACTGATAGATTTCAGTTATCTATATCTTTAATGGTCTAATACTCCTTATTTTTTTGTTTTTTCTTCTACTAAGTCAATGGTTATAACTGTATTTATTTTGAATCTATTGGTTCAGATACTATTATATTATGCTAAGTATAATAAGTGCTTGAAGCTTTTAAATTAGAACTAATATAATAAAGACAGGCACATTCACAATTTTTATAAACTAGACACATAGATGCTACAGAGCAGAAAGAAAAATTTCGGGTTCCTAAAAAACTATTTCAAAGAATCAGGGATTCTTAGAGATGGAATAGCCCCCAAAGGACATCTGTCCCAATCTCTCGTTAATGCAGACATCTTTATCATGACATCTGTAATAATTATTCTATTTCTACTTTAATAATTTCAGGCTGAGGAAAATTCATTGCTTTAAAAAGTAATCCTATTCATCAATAGACTGCAGTTCTTAGTTGGCTTCTTGTTTTGGAACTGAATTTTGACTGTCATTCACTCCTTCATTCAACAAATATCAACAGAATGCCTAGTATGTAAAGTCTCTGGGTACTGGGATTCAAGAATGAACAAGATCCCTGTCTCACTCTCAACAAGCTTACTGTCTAATCAGGGAGATTGGCAAAGACAGCCTGATACGTGCTATGATAGGACAATGTCCAGATACAGTGAGTGTACAGGAGGGTCATAATTAACCCAGTCCTATGGGATTAGGGAAGGCTTCCTTAAGGAAGTGATGTTTCCTCTGCTAGGCTGCCACATTAACTTAGAAACCATTATCAGCTTAAAGAGTTACACAGCATATTAAACTTTAACTCATTTAAGAAAATGAGAATAACAGATATTTTAAAAACATTTCTCAGCCTTCCAACTATACTTGTTGAAACCTTATTAGTCTTTCAAGGCCCTTCTCAGATGTGACTTCTTTCATTAAGTTTCTTCATCCTCCACATTAGATCTCTCTCTAGTTTCCACTGTTTCTGTGCTACATATTATCTTACTTCACTACTAATTTTGTTCTTGTTTTAGTCTCTTAAAAGATTAAAAGCTTAAGGATAGAGACTATATTTAACTTACACTTATGGCCTACTTATACACAGTGGACATTAAGATGTATTTGTAGAATTAAATTTAAGCAAAGTCCTAGCACTTGATTTTGCCTGGAATGGATTCTGAGAAGTTCAAGAGTTAGTCACACCCCTAAGATACTGATTTCTTCCTACCTAATTTCACAAGTTTAATAGTATACAATCCTAATGCAGCATTAGATTTTATTATTAGTGCCAAGAGCATTAAACTCAAGTTTAAATATATCACTCATGACTGTTACCTTCTCTGGGCCTGCTACTTCATTGTAAAATGTAAGTACTGTACTAAAGGATTTCTGAGGCCTGTCCAACTTTTCAGAGTCTATTGAGAGACCCTATCAGGATTGCTTTCTCTCACTTTTTTCTTTATTCTCAAACAATTCCCTGAACCTTTCAACACAAAAGTGATCATACATCAATTCATGAAACACTTAATATTGGTAAATAACGTAGAGTTCACTTGTTAACTATATCAAATGTAGTAACATTACAGCACAGATCTTATGTCCCCCCTTTCTTTTTTTATAAATGTTGAATTTACTGCTCCAGATACAATAAATGACATATAAAATTTTCTTGGTGGATTTAATTTAAAAAGTCAAACCCAGGTTCATCTCCCTGATGGAGGATTTAAAAAGTCTATCAAGATTCTCACTTGATGAAGTTCTACTAGGGATAAATAGGGTATGTTTCTTAAAGGACACATTCCATTTTGAGAGAGAACTATGCCAACTCCTCACAAACAACTCAGCGACAGGTGAGGCCATAAACCCTATTTTACAGGTGAAGGCGCTGAGTTTCGAATAGACGAAAATAACTCACCCTAGATCTTGGCCCCTTCAATGGAACTGAAGGCCTAGGTTATAACTCAAAAGTTTCACGTTTTTTTACTGCACTATTATTTTACTGCTTTCAGCACAAAGGAATACAGATGTGCTGGACCTGGGATCTAGGGTGACAATAAGGGGAAGCAGGCAAAGGCTTGTAAACTAGAGGGTCCGAATGCTCTATCGTAGGGGAGTGGGAGTGAGGGAGAAGGCCCCCAGCCCCGGCCCTCCGGCACCGCTGGTCACTCCACAGGCCCGGGAGTCACGCCTGCGGCCCTCCGTTTAAACAGCCAAGAGCGGAGAAACCGCTCCAGCCATACCGAGGACCCACGACACGGCCTGACCTGCAGGGTTCGGCCAGGGCCGACAGAGGACGCGCGTTCCTATGGGCCCCGGAGTTCTCAGGCGACGGGACGCGGCCAGAAAGCGTGGTCCCAAACAACCGAAAGTACCAACCTATACACAGGAAAACCGTCGGCGCCAACCTCGCTTCCGGGGTTCGTCCCCTCGGCTGCTCAGGATTGGCTCCGGCACAAGGGCGGGGCCTCGCCGCTACCTTCCCGGCTCCCTCACTGCATTTGGCAGCCAATGAGAGCCGAAGAGGACTTCAGGCGCCTACGTCATCGATGAGTTATCGCGAGGGAAAGAGCTGCTTTTCTCGCCCGCCTAATTCAGGTTTAGGGCCAAGCGGTTTATCACCCGCCAGCTGTTGCCGTGGTGTTGGTTTTCTTCTTACGAGTCTGGGTCATCCCGGGTAAAAGAGCCTCGGATCTCGAGGGTGGGGCTTTGGAGAGTATAGGTGTGGGGTAATTTGGGAATCGTATCCGCCTCCTTTAACTGCAGGATTCTTGGCAGGAAGCCCAGAATGGATTGACGCTCTGGGAAGAATGGGCCGAGCGGGCTGGGGAGGAGTTCTGGAGGGTCCAGCGTTCCGGCCTCAGAGAGTCCGGCGGTGGGGCGGGTTGAGGCTTGGGATCTCCAAGAAACCAGGAATCTGGACATGGCAGGGGTTATTTCGCGGTGGCAGTGGCTCCTTACGGAATATCCTGGCCATTATCGCTGGTTCTGCTGGCGCCTGAAGGTGTTTCTCCGCAGACCACGTGTTTCTGTATTTACTTTGGCTTTAACTTGGGACTTTCTTTTCCAAAACAAGCACGCCCATTCCTTTAAGAAATGCTGTGTTTGAGCAGGAAGTACGAGGTCGCCTCCATGCTCTAGAGTAGCCTTTGCATGCAAGTTAAACCATTTCTGCATATCCAGGGTTGTTCGTGTGCTAAACCCCACCTACTGTACGTGACCCTTTTGGCCCATTCATTTTACAAACATTAGTTTCCCATAGGGCATGGAAAAGGCAAATAGGAGATAAGCTTAATTATAGTAGTGAAACTAGAATGGCTCTAGTCTATTTTCTCTTCATAGCTCTTAAAAAATAATAGTAGATGCTTAGATGAGATGAGACACTTTTCCAAAATTGCCAGTCTGCTTTTTAAAAATGTTTTATAATAATATAATTTTGTTTTTGGAATTTGCTAGAATTTGGCATCGAGTGAGTTTTCTGACATATTTGAGCACAGGACCCAGGAGTACTTTGGAGAGAAAACTGGTCCCAGAGGAGCTGGACAGACCGTAGAAATGAGTCCTGCAGATGCCCTGTAAGAACCTGTCTTCTGGAATCTTCTTTGTTGTGTTAGGTTTCTATAGCCTATCAACTATGGTCACCATAAAAGAAAACTTATTTGATAAATTCGCAGTAAATAAATAGCTTGCCTGTGAACAGAAGTGTTAGTCATCAAAAAGACTATTTGGAATGTTTAAAAATTCATATGATCATACAATGTTTATTAACTAAGAGATAATATGCAGCTATAGATTGGGGCCTTGCAGTAATTTGGTGCATTGCTATAGTGTATAAATTTATATTCTTAGGTTTTGCCTTAAAATATTGAAGCTATAAATATTCTTGAGCTTTCATGACTAAGTCTTACTAGCCAGTTCAAATGGGTTTAAGATGGGTTTTAGAGGAGTAATGCTCTAGTAATGAATAAGTTGGAAATGAATTTGACTGAAATGAAAATAAATAAAAGGACTAGAAAGAGTTATGTGAAAAAACCTTAAACTTGGAGTCTTTCAACCCTGTTTTCAATTCCTTGATTGATACTGTGCGACCTTGAGCACATTAGTAATTTTCAACCTTGCCTCAATTTCTTCACTTGTATAATTGGATTAAAAATGACTTTCTCAGATTAATTTTCCTGTTTAAGTGAGAAAATTCATGTGAAAATACGTCATAGATTGCTATGGAAGTGTAAGGTAATGTGATGTGAAAGTACTCTGACCGCCTATGTGTATATAGCAATTAGAACAGTATGCATATCAGTTTTGAAGTCTGCTGGAAAAGTCTCTAATATATAAAGATTTGAACTTTAGAGATATATAAAAATTTTTTTTGAAGTTCATTATGGTTTAGTGAAAACAGCTTGAGTTTTAATCCTGGATTTTAGTCCTATTTCTGCCACCTTATTGTGTGATAAATCAGTTAATTTCTGTGTTTAACCTTCTCATTTTTCAGAGGTAATGATACGTACCTGTTTACATGTGGGAGTTGAGATGAGATCAGATACCAAAATATTTTCAAGAAAGTTAAAGTTACATTAAGAGAGTATTAATAACTGTTACATTGCTGTTTCACATGAAATTACTTTTGAATACTACCAAATTTAAGTCGAATGGTAAATCTGTTTTGGTACTTGGCCAAATTTGTTAAGGGAAAACTAACTTTGTATGGAGAGTAGTGTCAAGCAAGCATCTTCAGGGGGCCTGAAGGTAAGTAACTAGTGTACTAGGATAAAATTTGCTTATAAAGTAAGAGGAAGGGCTTTTTGAATTAACCAGTTAACTCTAATTTTTCTGGAAAAGTGAAAAATAGATAAATAGCAAGTTTAAGTATCGGGGTCAAATCCTCTTGGATTTTTGCTGTGGAGCAGAATAGGAAAACAACCAAGCTTTCAGATCCAGGTTACATATGAGTGTATAAAACTGGTTGTAACAAGGTTAGAAATTTTTGAAGCAGTTACAGAACCTTTTAAAAATGTATATACATTTGTTCTGTACTGAATTAGTGGTAGGAAAACTGTGGCATTGATGATCTGTTTAATACTTCAAATTTTCAGACCTTGTTTAAGACTAGAAAAACGATTTTACTCCATAACTGCTAGTATTTATTTTATAGATTTAGGTTTCAGTTTTCTTGAACATCCTTTTAGTGATTATATTGAAACGTTCTTTTCATTTTAAATACAGTGATGATGAAAATACATTTAAAATCTTAGTTGCAACGGATATTCATCTGGGATTTATGGAGAAAGATGCAGTCAGAGGAAATGATACCTTTGTAACACTTGATGAAATTTTAAGACTTGCCCAGGAAAATCAAGTGAGTTTGGTTTACAGTTTTGCAGTTTCTACTTTGTTCCCTTTCTCAGCAGACTCTTTTCCCTTTTTGAAGTTCCGGGTTTGTTTTATAGGTCCATGTACTCACATTGGCTGTTTAAATATTAATACACTAAAAGCCCAAAGCAGGAGCTGGCCTGGTAGTGTAGTGGTTAAGTTCACGGGCTCTGCCTTGGTGGCTTGGGTTTCATGGGTTCGGATCCTGGGTGCAGACCTACACACGGCTCATCAAGCCATGCTGTGGCAGAGTAACATATACAAAATAGAGGAAGACTGGCACAGATGTTAGCTCAGTGACAGTGTTCCTCAATCAAAAAGAGGAAGATTGGCAACAGATGTTAGCTCAGGGCCAATCTTCCTCACCAAAAAGATAAATAAAAAACAAAAATAAAAGCAGATTTTCTGTGCTTTCTGCCCTTAATTTAAGTAGAAGCTAGTTTTGTAAATAGCCTGTAAAAATTAACAGATGTTTATGGGGTTTTTACTGAATGCAGGATCCTGTGGCAGTTTCTATTTTAAATGTAAAAATGACTGTCATAGTTTCTACTTTCAAAGAACATACAGCAAACCAGTGTGTGAGATAAGACAAATGTCCAAAATGCTCACATGCAAGGTCATAAGTGGTAAGAGCTGTAAGAAAATGATAAACAGCATTTCCTGTGCGTTTAGAGGTAGAAGACATCATTTAGATGTGGATAGCAAGGTGAATTTAACGAAGGAGATGGGCTTTACTTGGGCTCTGAAGGATGGGTCGGCTTTTGACAAGTGAAGAACACAGAGCATGCACATCCTCTGTGAAGCAGGAGGTGAGACAGTGTGAGATCTGTTAGGTACAGCAGGTCAGTTCAGCTCACTGGTAGGTCATGAGTTAGCATGCTGAAAGACTAGAAATATGATCTAAGCTGCAGTGAGAGCTTCAAATGCCAGATTGAGGAGTTTGTACCCAATTTAATGGAAAGTCTTCTGGGAACAGGGTGTAGCATGAATTAGAGATCAGTTTGACTCTTTTTTAAAGTAATGGCATGTAATGGAAAAGAGGAGGTGAATCCAAGAGAGATTGCAAAGATAGGATTGCATACTTTGGTTAGTTGTAAGGGGATGAGGGAAAGGGGGATGACCATGACTCTGAAGTGTGTTAAAGTTTGGCTGATACCAACAATAGAAGTAGGTTTTAAATAAGGAAAACTTCTTCCTTATTTTATACTTCCTGTGACATACTTCTCTCTGTAGGAAGGTGATGAATTCTGATTTAGACCATTTGAACTGGAGATTCTAATAGGACATTCAGGGGAACATTCCAGCAGGCATGTCAGTCTACAGTCCAAGAGAGAGCTGGGGAGTAAACATAAATGCTGGTGACTTGCAAATTAGTGTCTTCAACCTTGATTTTTCCTCAGAGTTTACCTATAAAACATACTAATTTTTTTTTTCTGTTGGTTAGGTGGATTTTATTTTGTTAGGTGGTGATCTTTTTCATGATAATAAGCCCTCAAGAAAAACATTACATAACTGCCTCGAGTTATTCAGAAAATATTGCATGGGTGATCGTCCCGTGCAGTTTGAAATTATCAGCGATCAGTCAGTCAACTTTGGTTTTAGTAAGTAAGTATATTTAAATGCTTAAGTGAATGTTTCCGTGTGTATATTGTTTTCTGTATAAGACACATAAACACATTAACAATTAGCCATTTCACCTTCACTGTAGATGATTTTCACAGTAAATGTAGTTCTTTGAATTTTCTGTACATCACTGTATTAATTCATATTTCCCTAATTGATCGTGGGACTGAGTATGTTCTCAAATGTTTATTGTACATTTTGGTATCCTCTTCATATTTTGCCCATTTTAAAAATTGGGATTTTTGTCTTTTCCTACTGAATTTGCAGAATTCTAGATACTAAGCCTTTGTTAGGCTTGTATTTTTTCCCCTAATCAGTGGGTTTGACTTTGTTTATGAGGCCTTTTGTTGACAGTAATATTTCATTTTGATGTAGTCAAATGTATCATTCCTTTTCTTTAAGATTTGTACTTTTGGGACTTATTTACCGTATCCACCTAGAACCCCATGTTATAAAGATACTTTCATGTTTTTTCTTAAACACTGTACAGGATGCCACTTCGCAGTTAGCTGAAATGTTCTTTTAGTCTCCTTCAGCCTATGCTAGTTTCTCTGTCTTTATTTGTCTTTCATGATCCTGCTACTTTTGAAGTGTACTGGTCAGATAGTTTGTAGAATGTCCTTAAGTTTGGGTTTTTCTCATGGTTAGACTAGGGTTATAAGTTTTTGGGGAAGAATATTTCACAGAGGTGAAGTGCCTTTCTCATAGCTTATTGGGAGTACATGTTATCTATACAGGTTCTTACTGGTCAAGTTAACCTTGATCTGTTGGTTAAGGTGATGTCTGCCAGATTTCTCCACTGTCAAGTTACTGTTTTCTCCTTTCCTTACACTGTTTGTTGAAAGTGAGTCGCTAAGTCCAGCCCACACCCAAAGAGGAAATTAAGTTTCACTTCCTGGAGAGATGAAGGAGTGTCAAAGAATTTGTGGGCATGTTAAAACCAACACAGTAATTTGTAAATATTTTGGGGGAGCTATTTTGAGGCTGCGCAACTGTTGTGTTTCTCCTTAGTTTGTCCACTAATTTTAGCCTGCGTCAGTGGCTCTTGTCTACCTCAGTTATAACTGTGATGTTCTAAAGGTAGTTTTCTATTTCCCGTATTCTGTCTACATTTATAATTGGAATTCTTCTGTCAGAAAGATTATCTTTCTCCCGCATTTGTTTATTTATTCTGTTGTCTCTGTCAGTAGGAACTTATTCAGTTATTTATACCAGTATGAGCTCATTTTTTTCCCCTTTGGGTTATAATTTAATACTATCATAATTAATTTTGATTCTCAAAAAATTGTTCTAACTTTTGCCATTGGGCGCTCTTTCAGATTGGTTCCTGTGTCCTTTTGACATATCCCCATCTTTTTTTCCCCTTCCTTCTTACTGTTTGGCACTATAAGATGCTCCAGGCTAATTTTTTATTTTTCCTTCCCTAGCTTTCGACTCATCCATTTCTTCAAGGAGGCCTGGTTCCTTCTGGAGAATGGTATTTGAAAGCCAAAATTTGGACGCTAGGCATGCACTTTACTATTGTCTTCTCCCTGCTTCCAGGCTCTCTGAGTGCACAGAGATAAGAAATATGTGCATATATACCAACCCACAAAAACAGACATATTTGTATTTATTTTTTTACCTATTTGGATATACATATATATATTTTAAAAATGAGTTTATATTGGGAGGTAAATTTTTTGAGATTTTTATATGAAGAATGTAAGAAAATGGCTGTTCTTAACTTTACTCTGGATTGATCGTTTGTTTGAGTGTAGAATTCGATTTTAAAAGATTCCTGTAATTTTTTACATATGTCCTTGTTTTTAAGAATTCTGATCGGTGTCTTTACCTGTCTTCTGTTCAAATCTACAAGTTTAGTGTTTTCTTCTTTTTTCTAATCTTATTCTTAAGCTGCATACTATTTTTAAACTGTTCCACCCACTAGACATTTTGACCTGTTTCTTTGCTCACAGTTGCTACTTCTTGTATTTTGTTCCTTTTGTCTAGATTCAGTTTCCTTCTTTCTGAAGTACAGTTTTTAGTAGTTTTTTCATTGATTGCCAGTGAGTGGTAAACTCCTATTTTTTGTTGCAGTTGAGGAGTCTGCTGTTGTTTTAGTTACTGGAAAAGCGGCATAGCATAGTGATTATAAGCACGGATTCTGATATAAGACTGTCTGAATTCAAGTCCTGGCTCTGCCTTCCCTGAATTTCATCATTGTAAAGTGGGAAAAGAGTAGTACTAAGCATGTTTTCCTATCCTTTCCCTATTTGGATATTACTCATGTCTTACCCTCTTTTTTATATTGCCCATAACTTTATCTCTTTGTGCTGCATTCTAGATAATTTACCCTTACAGTTTACTAGTTCATACAGAAAAGTAGACCAAAAAACAAAAAAAATAGAAAAACTGAAATAGTGACTAGCCCAATTAGATATTAAAGTATACTATACCACGTTAACAAAATGAAAGATAAAAGTCATATGATTGTCTTAATAGATGCAGAAAAAAGCATTTGACAAAATTGAACATCCTTTCATGATAAAAACTTTCAATAAACTGGGTATAGAGGAAACATACCTCAACATAATAAAGACCATATATGACAAGCCCACAGCTAACATCATTCTTAATGGTAAAAAGCTGAAAGCTTTTCTTCTAAGATCAGGAACAAGACAAGGATGCCCACTTCAGCCACTTTTATTCCAGGCCAGTTAATCTCTTTGTGTGTCATGGCATTAGTATATCTTAAAAGTTTCCTAGATAATTCTAGCATGCAGTTGGGGTTTAGAACTACTGGCATAGATTTAGAAGCTTGATAATGTATTAGGTTGGTGAAGTAAGGGGAAACAGTCTCTCTCATGCATTGCTGTTGTATTATGTGTAAATTTGTACAACTTCTTTGGAGGGAAATTGGCAGTAGTTATCAAATTTACAAATGCAAGTGTACCCTTTGACTCAACAATTCCCTTCTAGATATTTTTCTGTGCTCTCACAAGGGCAGCTTCTTACAGGATTACTCACTATAGCATTATTTGTAAAACAACACATTGGAAATAGTCTAAATGTCAATTGGTAGGTAACTACTTAAACACATTATAATAATCCATACAATGGAGTACTATTCTGCCAAAAACACAAGAAAGCTCTTTATGTTTTCTAAAATACATTAAATGATAAAAGCAGGGTGCAGAAATCTATATTGTGCTACCATTTGTGTAAGAAGGAAGAAAATGTATTTGTTTGCTTGTACAGGTATAAGATATTTTTGCAAAGATGCACTAGAATTTGCTAGCATCTTTTGCCTCTGAGAAGAGGAGCTAGATGACTAGGGGCAGGAGTGGGCGGGCAACTAAACTGCACAAGTAGTAAGTGATAGAGCTGGAATTTTTAATCTAGGTCTTTGGATTCCAAAGTGGATCTGTTTCTTCCCCTCGTTCTGCAAATACAGAAGCCTTATACAGAGCCTTTTAAAATTTTGAAAGTTTATTAACTTCACATTAATCAAAAGTACCACTCTTTGATACAATTCACAGGCATCATTTATTGTAGAGTTTCTTTAAAGTGTAGTACTTTGAGATATTTTCAGACTTGAATTGAAATGAGTTGTTGCCTATGATTTTATTTTTTTAAAGCTCCAAACTAGTGGTCATTAAAAACTTAGATCATCCAGTTTGCCTATAATTGAATTAATTTTAGGGGGGGGGGGTATTGGGGGAAACAGCTTTCGTCTCTTATAGAAACTTTAATTACCCTTTTTTTAAGGTTTCCGTGGGTGAACTACCAAGATGACAATCTCAACGTTTCGATTCCAGTGTTTAGTATTCATGGCAATCATGATGATCCCACTGGGGTAATTCTTGAGTTCTTACAATTTCTTGAAGTTTTAGAAATGATCAGTTGAGCCTGTCTGTGGAAAGCATTCTTTCCCTTCTTCCCAGTTTTTTGTCAAATTGAGTCAGAAAGTCAAATTGACTTTTTATCATTCATATAAGCTTTTATACTGCTTTTTAGATAATTGTTTAAAATCTGAAATAATAATTGGTATGTGAAGTATGCTTTTATTTCGTTAGTGCTAGAGTTAACAACCAGTAACCAGGACTAGGAATCAATACCCAACATTTGTATAAGGCTTTACAGTTTACCAAGTGCTTCTGTATCTCTTATCTCATAAAATCTCACCTGTAGGAAATGATTGTTTCGTGAACAATTTTAAATCTCAATTAGGTCATCTTATTACCTGTTTGATGTAGAAGTAGTAATAGAGATTCTAAACTTAAAATATCTTTTTATCTGGTCATTAATATTGTAAATCGCTACTTACCTAGTTTTTTTCCCCCGTGTCTTAAGAGGTCTGCTTAATACTACAAAGCGCTTATTCACGGCTGATTTTTATTTTTCAGCGGCCAAGGCATCATGATAAATTTTGATGAAATGTTAACTTTGCATTTAGCATGTGATTCCAGTTGCAGTAGGTCATTGGTAATAGAAAAAAGGTAGCAAATACTTTCACTACTGTAATTTTGTTTTGAGATGACACTATCCTAATCTTATGTTTTTATAACTAGTATATAGAATATAGTTTTAATAGGTAATAATATGATATGCAGATTACTTATTTTTATATATGCATTAATATTCTCCGAAAATATTTTGCATAGGCAGACGCACTCTGTGCTCTGGATATTTTAAGTTGTGCTGGATTTGTAAATCACTTTGGACGTTCCATGTCTGTGGAGAAGATAGACATTAGTCCAGTTTTGCTTCAGAAAGGAAGCACAAAAATTGCTCTATATGGCTTAGGTAAGATGGTTTTATTTTACTATTTACGTCAATAAATATTTAATTGTTTAAGCAACTAGGAAATCAAATTCTGA